TTGGACATTGACTCACGATTCTTCTGTATCATTCTCAAATGGATGGTTACTCGGTTCCATTGTGCTATCTGCTTTGGCTTTGACTACATGGACTTTAGTGTGATTTTGCAATCTGGATTTCTGTGCTTCGTCCATATTCATGTTCCTTGCAACTGTAACAAGACCAGCAGAAAGCATAATCTCAAACAATCAGGACCGACTGACTCAAGGCAAAGACAAGATGAATGAGGGAAGGTGAGAACTCATAATAATCTGAGAAAGTACAGATAGTAGGACATGGCCAGCTCTCATCAAGAGTCCTCACTCATCCCTCTCAAGCCTTATCCTCAATCTCTCATTTGACTGTGTGTCTTTTGTGCCTTGAGCCACGTCTACGTACTTCCCGAGATTGTGGCTTAGAGATGTAGAGCCACCTAAAGCCTGCAAGTTCCGAATACGTCCATCCAAGGCCAAAGATACGGAAGTCAAGCACAACACTAAAATTCCGCCCACAGAGTAGGAAGATATGGTTTGGAGAAGATCTCCCGTATGAGATGCCCAAACTCTGAGGGTTCAGTCAGTGCCTCGTAGTCAATCTCTGTAGGGGAGATATACCTCTTGGCCAAATCAACCAAGTCACCCTAGTAAGAACCATCTATGAGAAGAAAAGGAACTAGAGGCTTGGGGTAGTCAGTGTAGAGCTTGGGTCCAAAGCTACGGATCAACTTTGTGCCACTCTCATGAAGCTCTCACTCTCTCTCTTCAAGATGTTTTGCTGCTGAGATCCAAACTGAATCAAGGTGCTCATGAGTTTCTTTGCCTTTCTTCACATAGATCCTCAAGTCATGAATGGTACCTTTTGCAAACTCGGTGAGAACCACGAAGATTGATAGATCTTCTTGTCTGAAACCGACTGCCCTGACATATTGGTACTGGAAAGCATCCTTGGAAGCAATCTGGTTGAGACTGGTCAGGACAGTCTGATCTACAGGAAAGGAAACAATGGTAATCATGTGCCAAGGTGGATACTGAGACGGATCTGAATGAGGTTGATCTCGTGTAGAGAATGGTCAAAAAGATATTGCTGATAATTTCACTGATGGAATATTTACGTTGAAGGCCCTCTCTGATTGATGCTGATCTATATGACGACTGATATTGACTGAATAACAGTAAGTCTTGATTGAGAGTCACTGATGATGTCTTAGATGACTGAGAACAATTGAGCCTCAAGTCATTAGTTGCTGACCACTGACAGTTGAATAGTAAGAAGAGCTCTAGGTTGTTGAATGGCACTCGCTGTTTGATTCATTGATACGATCCTTGAGAAGGAAGGGTCTGAGAGTGTTTGCATTCACCTGAACCTCGCCCAGGCTTGTTCAATGGTCTCTAGTGATGATCTTGTGCTATGCATCTTTCCATCGCGATCATGAAAGTAGGTGACATATTCGTTATATTTCATTTCTCCAATTCTCTGGACTGCTAGCTCTCTCAAAATCAGCTTATAGAACATGTTCTGACTGATTTCCATCTCCCATCCTTTATACTTCTCTTTATAGACGCTACCCCTCATCACCAATATCTCGGTATTCCTCATGCTTCGTTACCACTTCCCAAGATCCAGGCTGACAAGAAGCAGAAAAGATAGCGAGTTGACTAGTAACCCGGTAGGTTTATGTAATGAAGGTGAATAACTGCTTTCAGGGTCAGAATTCTTGAGTATCCTATTCGGATTAGCTGTTGAAAGTTCGATGAAGTGCAGTCTATCACCAGACTGTCCGCATTGGTTAGTAGTAAGTCCCTTGAGAATGTAAATAAAACTTGTTTGATGGATTCTATCAAGTTGGGTTTGTCGAGGGTCACTCAGACCAGTCACTGGTGATCTACCGGACAACTGCTGGGGGTTGATCTAGACTGCTGCAGCATACAGACCCGAACAGTTACTGGTTACAAATATGAATTGTAACCGGATACCGTTTTGATCCTTTGTTGACTCATGCACTGTGAGTGTGGACTGGATGGTCCACTGGATACTGCTTTAGGAAAACTATCTGAATATCCTGCACGAAGCCACAGATGTTTGCATTAAAAAATAATAATAATAAAAAAAATCCAGTCATCTTATTATAGGACGTCTGAACACTTCCCTAATCCGAGTGCCCGGGTATTCAGGCTCTCGCAGCACGCCAGTTGGTCGGGTAGATGCGTGAGCCTCACAAAGCTGTGTCATACAGTTGGCCCAGGCCTTGACAGTTGCGCCTGGGCACATAAACACAAAGCAGGGCCGATACATTGGGAAGCAGGCTGTCGGCCTTTGCAAAAGCAGTACCACCGACACACCTACCTGGGAGCGCTGCACAGATGCAGCAAACAGCCCAAGTCCGGAGACTCAGGCCGTGCCCAACTGAAAAGGGCCCAGGCCCTCAACTGTAGTCTCGGGCCTGGGCTCAAGGTCTGAGGCCCAACCGGAAGCTACTGCAAGCTTCTGGTGCGCCGCAAGTATGCTCCATATCTGTCTTTTTCTTTTTTTTTTATCTCTGTGCCTATATCTTGGGCGTGCATGGATCATTGGGTTGTTTTGAAGATCTGTTCGTTAATTCATTCATTTTAACTCTTCGTTGGTTCATACTTCTGTACATTTTGACGCCGAGTTATGTCTTGACTATGCATCTTTTCACCATCCTATTTCTCTTGCCTTCTGCCATGCTCTGTGCTTTACCGTTGTGCTGCTTCTGTGTTAGATCAACTTCCTTTTAGTCATTTATATGTTGCCCCCACCTCCACCCCCAACCCCCTACCCATGTCTTTGCTCCCCCTCGCAGGTAGCTCATCCTAAAGTTGATGGTTTTGTAGGGGCGTTGCTTGGGGAGACGATTCTCTGGCATTGGTTTACGAGAGCTGGTGGAAACAACGCCGTAGCTGCACATGGGTATTTGTTTTTCGCTGTTTTACCTACGAAGCAACCCTTTACCTTTCCCCCCATTTGTCGATCCCCAGTATGCCCCCCCAACGGTTCTATGCTCCATTCCCTGAGATTGTTCCATGATCTACTCTGTAGTTCTGATGGGTAGCATGTGTTATCTTGCGCTGGCCTCTGGGTGTCGAGTTATTCTGGCGTCAGCCTTTTTGGCAGTTTCCCGTCATGCATCGGTGAAATGTTTTCCCTTTCTTTCAAGTTTTGAAGTTTTTTCTATCTACCATGCAAAAGGACAAAAAGGTAGATGCACCCGAAAACCTAAAAGTAAACAAAGTGAAGCTAGTTTTCACACCAATGCCATCAGAATCTGGAGATCCCTTCTCTTCCACCCGAAATTTAAGTTCATCGTCTGCCTCCCCTTCCTCGTCAGATCGCAGCTCAATGCGGATTTCTTGTGCTCTTTTATACAGGGTTTCGTTGTTCTTGAAGAAGCTGTAGTCTGAGAATGGATGCTAGCTACACTTACTAACTCAAGATAAAACATAAAGCTGAAATCTCTGGTGAAGGATACATTAAAATTGAAGGATACAGAGAAGATCACCATAGCCTTTGCATGTGAACGGAAAAAAAAAAAAAGAAGGTTGACCAATGACCAGGGAAAAAAAAGAAAACAGAAAACGAAGTTAAGGTATACTACACCCGCTCAAACTTCAAATGCCTTAAGACCATGGTAACCGACCGGACGTCCGGACCGGGTTGCAGAGTCCGGAACAACATGTCCGGGTCGGTCCGTGATGTCTGGATGGAGGACCCAGGGCAAAAATCGAAAAAAAAAGGGGCGGCCCGGGACATTTCTCGGATCCTGGCCACCCCTTGAAAAATAACGGGGTGATTTTTCAGTGTTGTTTCACCCCACTGGACAGGGCCTAGATGTCCGGACACAAGACACTGCAGGTTTTGGGGTGGCGGGTTTCACACAGGCCCGAGCAATTTCAAAGCGGCCGTTGCGACGTGCCGCCTGCCGCTGCTACTCGTTATTGAGAGAGAGAGAGAGAGAGAGAGAGAGAGAGAGAGAGAGCACTGACAGTGCTGCCAGTCTGAAGACTGACGTTCTGCATTGAACTGCAAAGTTTGAACTTTGAAGTTATATGAAGTTGTGAACTTAAATTACTTGATTCAAAGTTCAAACTTCAAAGTTGATCATGGTTTTTTCATTTTTTTCCCTCTGTTTCTTTAGTCTTGTGCCTGCTTTGCACTGTTTGCAACTCTGCATGTCTGCTAGTTGAATGAGCTTGTTGATTTGCTGCAAGACAGGTGCTCTGCTGCCTGAACTACAAAGTGCAAAGCAGGTGAGTACCTGCCAACCCCCCC